TATAAATAAGTCTACCATTGCGCGAACCATCAATAAGTCTACCAACCACTTAATAAATCTACCAATCGTAAATAAATCTACCACCACATGAACGGTAGACTTATTTTCTGCCTCATTAATGGTATTTTCGTAAATACGTTTTTTCTCTTCAAAATAAATAAAGTTAAAACGGGTATTAATAGTTTTTGAAGATTGTTTGAGTAATTTTCAAAGAATAACATCATTTTGGTTAAAAATCAACTTTGTAAGGTTGTTTTAGTAAAGCTCCCTTATTTTATTTGCAACATTCTTTTTTCATATAAAAGTTGCATATATAGAGCTTGAAAATAGTTTGAGATGACTATAAATTTAATTTATATATGAATATTTGATGAGTCGTAGCATTGGGAGCTTGGCGAAAGTATTCAACGAAGCTGGCGTAGAGAACGTGACGGTATCGAGCTCGGTATTCACGGGAACACAAAACGGCGTGAGGATCAAGTCTTGGGCAAGGCCGAGTAATGGATTCGTTAGGAACGTCTTCTTTCAAAACCTAATCATGAAGAACGTCGAAAACCCTATCATAATCGACCAAAACTATTGTCCATCCAAACAAGGTTGCCCTACCGAGGTATATATACATTTTGATAAGACTAATCAAATATGTTTATTGAGCTTGATCTAATAAAATTTTATGCGTATGTATGTAATATAGCATTCGGGGGTGAAGATAAGCCAAGTGACGTACAAGAACATACAAGGAACGTCTGCGACAGAGCAAGCGATGAAGCTAGAGTGTAGCAAAACAAGTCCATGCACAAGAATCACATTACAAGACATTAAGCTTACTTACAACAAAGGAACTCCTGCTACTTCCTTTTGTTCCAATGCTCTTGGGACTAATCTCGGTGTTATTCAACCTACTAGTTGTCTAAGCCGATAAAATCATATATTCTTTGGTGTACATTTATTTGGTGAAATGAGATATGTTATTAGGATGATCCAAAATACCTTTTTGTCACTTTGGACATTCATATCAACCGTTGATCAACGTACAATTGTTTTTTTTTCCATCAATAAAATATTGTTTTCAAGACTTTGACTTATAAAAGACAAAATATATAAAGACAAAACTAGAAGAAAAACAAAAAAAGAAGAAGTAAAGCTTATGCTTTTAGATATGCTTTAAAAAAAGAAAACTAACATAAAGCTTATAGACTTTGGAAATGTAAAGAAATTAATTAAAGAATTAAAATTCGTTTCACTTTCTCGCTTTTTGCATTTTCTGGGCTTCGTCAAGTCAATGGCTTAATAAGACCAGGATTCTTTCTTACATGTGGGACCATAAAAAGCCTTGAAATTTACAAACATTTATACAGTATACTCTCTACTCTCGACTGAAGCAAGTTTTTTTTTTTTTTTCTCAGTGATTTTGAACTTCTTCACACACACAAAAGTGGCAGTTTTTACAAGAAAGACTGAAAATTACAGTGAAGTTGAGGTTTTTCATTTCGCTGTGTTGTTACGAAATAATAATGATTACTGTTAGATTTAGATTTGGGGACAAAAATTGTTATTAGATTACTGTTTCGTTTTAGATCTTTGATTATTACAAGAGTTGCTGTAGTTTCGATTTAGATGATAGCACCGAGAAATTAGACTATATAGTAGTAGGAATATAGGGGAGACGAAGATGGGTTCTTTGGCTCCTGTAATGGAGAAGCAACAGAGCTAATTTCGAGGTAAATCCATGGAGGAAGAACAACAACAGAGTCTCAGATGCGTTGATGCAGAGAATCAGGTGAGAAAGGTAAGAGCTTTAGAGAAGCAAGTTAGTTTCCAATTTGGGAATGTAGAGAAACATGGAATTGAGAGGCAGAGAAGCATTCGTGGGTTTGTTGAGAAGCAGGAAAGCTTTAGAGTAGTAATGGAGAGACAGTTAAGTTTCATGAATGGTGGTCTTGAGAGGAAGAATGAGTCACCTGGTAAAAGAGGAGACTCTCCTCTTCACATTGCAGCTCGAACGGGGAATTTGGGGAAGGTTGTTGAATCGTTTCGAGGTTGTAACGGTGTTGAAGAGTTGTTGTCAAAGCAGAATCTACAAGGAGAGACTCCACTTTATTCAGCTGCAGAAAATGGGCATTGGTTAGTTGTTGAAGAGATGTTGAAGCATATGGATCTTGATACCGCTTCGATTGCAGCTAGGAACGGTTTTGATCCTTTCCATGTCGCAGCAAAACAAGGCAATCTCGGTAAAAGAAACTTTCGATAGTTAATGGGAACTCAAGAACTTGTTTTGGTGTACACTTTCTTTCTTGAATGTGCGTTATCTTTTTGCAGAGGTATTGAAGAAACTGTTGGAGACATTTCCGAATCTGGCCATGACAACGGATTCATCGTGTACAACTGCGTTGCACACGGCTGCTACACAAGGACATATTGATGTGGTGAATCTTCTTTTAAAGACGGATTCTCATTTAGCTAAGATAACTAAGAAGAACGGTAAAACCGCCCTTCATTCTGCAGCGCGGATGGGACATTTCGAAGTTGTTAAGTCTTTGATAGGTAACGATGCAAAGATCAGGTTTAGAACCGATAAAAAGGGACAAACAGCGCTTCACATGGCTGTCAAAGGTAAAAAAGAAGGGATTGTTCTTGAGTTGGTGAAACCTGATCCTGCGGTTTTGAGTGTGGAGGATAATAAAGGGAATACGCCATTGCATATTGCTTCAAAGAAAGGCCGTGCTAAGGTATCTTCATCGATGATTTTCTCACTCGAGTTTCTCATTTCTACATGAATTCTTATGAACTGCTTCTTTGCCTTTTGCTTGCAGATAGTGCGATGTTTGGTATCATTTGATGGAATTAACCTCAATGCTATGAATAAGGCTGGAGATACCGCACTTAGTATAGCTGAAAAGATTGGAAACGCAAAGCTTGTGTCGGTTCTGAAGGAAGCCGGAGCTGCCACAATCAAAGATCTTGGGATGCCTGCAAACCCAGCTAAGCTATTTAAGCAAACGGTCAGCGACATTAGACACGAGGTACAATCTCAGCTCCAACAGTCTCGCCAAACAGGTGCTAGAGTTCAGAGGATCGCAAAGAGACTGAAGAAGCTTCACATAAGCGGTCTGAATAACGCTATAAACTCAGCAACTGTTGTAGCTGTCCTAATCGCAACAGTTGCATTTGCAGCAATCTTCACTATACCCGGGCAATATGAAGAGGACAGAACAAAAGGAATGTTGTTGTTAGGAGAAGCTCGAATAGCCAACGAAGCCTCGTTCTTAGTCTTCTTTATATTCGACAGCTTGGCGCTGTTTATATCTTTGGCTGTTGTTGTGGTGCAGACTTCGGTTGTGGTGATTGAGCAGAAGGCAAAGAAGAAGCTTGTGTTTGTGATCAACAAGCTCATGTGGTTGGCTTGTTTGTTCATATCTGTTGCCTTTGTTTCTCTTTCGTTTATCGTTGTGGGTAAGGAGGACATTTGGCTGGCGATTTGTGCAACGGTTATTGGTGGGACGATTATGCTAACCACGATAGGTGCAATGTGTTACTGTGTGATCATGCATAGGATTGAGGAATCTAAACTGAAAAGCATGAGGAAAGAGAGAAGCAAGTCGAGATCTTTCTCACTCTCTCATATGCCTTCAGAGTCAGAGATTCTCAACGGCGAATTCAACAAGAGAATGTATGCACTCTGAGACTAAGTCTCAAGAACAGCACTGTTTTAACTTTTATGTAAGAGTAACAAATGTGTACACATATCAAGTACCTGTAAACTGTTTAGATTGAAGTGAGGAGAGACAAACACCTCAGGAATAGCCTTAAAGCAAATCTACTATTTCTGACACAAAATGGATTTTCTAAAGAATCAAAGAATGAATAAAAAGTGAAGTTCTTCACCTGATGCAACTGATCTGTGATGGCTTTCTTGTTCTTTCTGCTCTAAGATCTAGTTATAACTGTCAATGTTACAGGAACTCATCACCGGCTTTTACCCCGCCTAACCGAGTCATCGGTTTTAGGTCTAGTGCTTCCACTACGGCTAATATCTGTTGGGTAATGACGTGAACCTCCTAGGTTCTTTGTTAGGTTCGTGGGTTTGTTTTCAAGGAGGCATACTCTGGCTGAGTAGCAGTGACGGACTTTGATAGAGTGGCTTGTCAATGTAGTTGAGCAGCTTCCTCGAATGTTCACCATCAGGAGTGCTTCTTTATCTCGAGTGTCTTCACACCACCAATTCTGCGGGATGCCATCAACATACTCCTCCAATGTGTGAAAATCTTCGTGATGAACCTTCACATCAACGGTTCCTTCCGGTTTTATTATCCCAGCTGCTGGTGAAACCTATAAAAAGATTCTTGAATCATTAAATCTTGAATACTACTACATGAACTTCATTGGCGTTGAAACAGAATATAGTACCTCAAGCCAGCGAGGTAGACCAAAGGAGCCTCGTGGAATATATTCAACCTCTTCTCCGTCATCCTTAACAATAGTCTGACCGCCGCATAAAATGCTGTAGATGGCTTTACTTGTGGTTGAATTGTTTGTGATTGTTAGGATGACTGTGTCCTGACTCTGAAGAACAATGTTGTTGGTGCTCACAGTCGTCTCTGGAACCGATTTTAGATCCTCAAATATGGATCTTATTTTCTCATTGGACCTTATTATTTTCCCCAGTTCCTGTCTCCGCACAGATTTATCAACGTGAGCTATGGTAGCATGAAATTTGCAGCGCACAGGTTTGTGATCGCTTTCAGTAACATCCATGCAAGCTTCATACCTGTTGAAACAAGCAAGTGGAAATGTTAGAATGGGGAAAAAGTAATTGAAGAGACGAGAAAGAGCGAGGAAACTTAACAAAGGTCGGCATGAAACCATACATTATAACCGATGAAACTACAGGGCATTGCAAGTTGCTCTCCGAGAATGGGCTTGATTGAGTGTCTCTATATATAACTCTGTCACACCATGCAGGAATTCGCTTTTTCTCACCTGAATCGTATCCTGGAAAGTACACAGCACAGAAATATTCATTTTTCCGGAGCCACCAATTCTTATGAAACAGGGGAAGAACAAGAATGTTGCAACTTTTTTCAAATTCATAGGTTGATATCTATAATTCAAATCCATTTTTTACCTCCTAGGCCTGAGCGGTTCCTTTCGAATTTGTAAGTCGGAGGGAAAGTGATTAATGCCTCACGCATTCCCTGGAAGACTTTTCCAATCTTCATCTCTTGTCTAAGTTGGTCTCTTTCTCTGAGCCAATCGAAAGATCGCTGCGAAATGAAGTCCCTCGCTTCATCATAGGTTATACCAAACAGCCTATAGTTAAAATCGCCGAAAAATGCGATCATGTCTGCTGCTGCTAAATCAGACTTGATTTCTTCAGTAGTACCGGCGCTTGGATTCTAGGGGAAACAGAGAAACATCTTCAGTACAGAATTAAAGGAGCTAACAACATAAGCTCGGGACTGATATCGTGAAGCAAGGATAAAATGTTAAGTGTTGAAGTAATGGTGATATGATAAGAACATACAGTGGTAGTCTTGACTGTATAAGCTGCTGTTGAGACACCAGCTGCAAGAGAGAGGGCCCATGGCAAACCAGAAGAATAAAGCAGCCAAAATAAATATGTGGAAAAGCCAAGTGAGCAAGACAAAAACAGGTACGGCACCATACCAACTGCGGCGTTACTTAGATTTTGTCCTCGGGAAAACACCATCAATCGAAAAATGTGATTGAAATCCGCGTTTCTGCGATTAACTGCCTCCAAATGCGCAGCCAAGTGGCAATTCACAAAGCACATGATTCGGTCATAAACTCTGATTCTCAGACCTACACCTCCCTGTTTTGGCAAGTAGGATGTATTACTGAGATTAAACGAAACAAGTTCCTCACAGAGGAATAAAATTTAAATTAACATCCTCATCCGAAGGTTAGCAAGGTAGAAGAGATGCTACACATTGCGGCAAAAGGCTAAGCTATTTCCTGTTCTTCTGTCATCATTCAGTGGGTCATATAAATTGCAAGTAAGCAACGCATTTTATTAGAACTTCCTCATATGCAATTTCACGTCACACAAGACAGCAATAGATAATGAAATGCCGAAAGCCTAAGTGCAAATAGGCTCCATAATAGTGTAAGACATACCTTGTTGCCAATGGCACGGCCAAAGCCACATGGGACTGCTGCAACATCAAGATCTCCAACATGTGTTCTAATATCCTTCCTCGCCCTAAGGAGAAAATTACAACACACAAATGGTTTAACATGGGAAGAAAAACAACTGCTGATAGTAGACCTTACCAAAGTGTTAAAAGCTAAGCATCGGAATGCAACATTTCAGAACTGAAATTCCACTTACCAAAGAGATATCAGAAGTCCTGCCAACTGCCTTGAACCCATACGCTCGAAAGTGTTTTTCTCATCAAGTGCTTTTCCAATTGCATCAATCCACCATTGTCCCACAGCACTTCCTTCAAGTCCAACCTACAACAGTGATCCAAATATGAGATTAAAGTTCAAGCAAAATCAAGCATGTAATAAAAGGAGTTACCGTTTCCTTAGCAGCAGACATGGCAAGGAAACCTGCTCCCATCTCCACCTCTTGCAACCCAACAACGACAATGCCAACATCTGAAGTGACAGAGCCCAACCACGACATAAGTGCATCGTGTGAAGCCCGTCCTTGACCAACATTCCAAGTACCAATTAAAATTCTAACATTGTCTTGTCTGGCATATGAAGTTTCCTTCTGAGACAATTCAGTTCGGATAATATTGTCCAGGGGTCCTGGAGATGTCACATACCATCCTCGTACTCCACCATGAGTGGCCAAGCTAAAAACATAACCACCACCTGCTGCTAGCTTTATCACAGGTTCATTGTGTGAAACCCAGCTTGCAATTAACTTTCCATCAGGATCCAAGACCTGGATGTATCCACTTGCATAACCCACATATATTCGATCTCCAAATGTGCAAAAGCACAAAACAGGCCGCTGATGGTGATTCACATCACGCAAGCGGCTTCCATTTCCATCCCACTGCACAATTAGGCCACTCATGCTTCCAGTCCAAATCGTTCCATCTACAGCTAACACGATAGCTTCTGTTTTCCTAGTATCTTCCGAAAACGCTCCTGCACTTCTAGTGGCCACTCGGCGAACAGCTCCTGCAGCTCCCATTATAGCATTCCGCGATCGCTGCAGAAAGCCCTGTGGTTTTTCCTTCTTGGAAGCCGAGAAGAACTTCACTTTCATCTCATCGTCAAATTGTTGGTCTTGTACCGGTGGCATGTCCACACGACACTCAACTTGCCCGTCAACATTCAAAACTTTCAGAAGGTCTTTACTCCGAGCATCCCTGCATACAGTTTTCAATCTCTCAAAAATGATCAAGAAACAATTAAAACGAAACAGTCCACATACCAATTTACCATAGCCTACCAGATTGAGAATGAGAGTGACTGCACAGCCCACACTTTAGCTCTTACTGAATCAGCTAACAAATACTTAACGTCTGAGGAAGAAATACTGCAAGTCCCATTCACAGTAACTTGGCTCCTGAGATCAATCACTGATCTCTCCACTAATAACGCAGCCATGTGTTTCTCCTCCGGTTTAAGCAAAAGAGATTTCTCTAATGTATCCCAAGGCCATATTTTTATCAAACCTCCTTCAGAACATGACCACATATCACCTGAACATCATACATCAATAAGCATCATGTAGAACAAAACCAACCAAATTCCATATCAATCAATCATAAGAGTGTAAACTAACCATAAGAGCTAATGACAATGGAATTGACTGGACCACGATGAGCTTGCCACGAGACACGTTCCTTAAACGGATTTGAATCATCACAAACAGAAGAGCCTTGATCCATCTTCCAAGCTCTGATTTTGCCATCTTTATGACCACTCCACAAAAGCTTATTACTTTGGTCACATAACAAACACATGGTAGGCGAAGTAATCACAGACTCATGAAACGGCGCCGTATCTTCATCACCTCGCCGTACTTGACCTCCGATTCCACTTCCAACCTCGTAAGCCTCTTCCAAATCCCAAAATCTCACTCCGTTCTCTTGACCAGCCCAAAGCTGAGTCTCCGTACAAGCAATATTCCTCAAGAATTTCCCAGTCTGGGTTTCCCTCAAAGGATGCGGACGGAGCTCGAGACACGGCGGTCTTCCGGGATGCACCGCCGCACGAACCGGAACCTTGAAAATCCCGGCGCCGCCTCCTGCTCCGATGAATTCCGGGAGCGGCTCGACGTCGTCTTCACCGAGTCCGACGTTAGGTGGAGGAGTGACGACGGAGTAATCCTCGCCTCCTCCGATGATTCCTCCTCCATCGGTGGTGGTTTCTCCGTTGACGATATTACCTCCGGTGGAGAATTCGTCGTCGGAGGAATCGAAGTAAACGGGTTCGGATCCTAAATTGGCGGATCTAGGGACTTCGTCGAGGCTGTGTTTGCGGATCTGGTGGTGTGGTTTGAAGTCGAATTGTTGGCTATAGGAATGTGTTTTACGGCGAGATGGAACAGGGACGAGTGTCGCCAATGCCTCTTCGTCTTCTTCTTCGATGCTAAGAGGATCCATTCGATGATCAGAGGGAATTGGAGGAATTTGGGAATGGC